TTAAATATGCAAACATTACATACAAACATACAAATAAACAAACAGACAAACACATACAAACAAACAATACAAACAAACAGACAACATCCAAACAGACAACATACAAACAAATAATATACAAACTTATTGAGATAAGCCAGAGCAACATCAACAAATCTATTCAACTGGCCAACAGATTTTGCCACAAATTCTCCGCCATTTCTCAACAACTCGGCAACAAACGACAACGCTAGTGTTGCCTTCTCTATCTCAGAGTTTTCAACAATGCCAACATTTTTTTCATAAGTCGCCAGTAAACTGAGACACTCATGTAGCATGACGTCGAAACCGTTGTACGTATGCGTCCAGGTTATAAGGACTCTGCCAGATTTTGCGCCATCTTGTGAGTGGGACGAAAATTTTAGTAATTTTTTTATTTTATTATTTTTAATCATAATCATAATCATCATCATCATCATCATCATAATAATAGCTGGTCGCGCAAAAGTGAACAAGGAGGCCATTACTACTACCACTACTACTACCACTACTACTACTACTACTACCACTACTACTACTACTACTACCACTACTACTACTACCACTACCACTACTACTACGACTACTACTACTACTACTACTACTACTACAACTACCACTACTACTACTACTACCACTGCTATCACTACTACCACTACCACTACCACTACGACTACTACTACTACTACTACTACTACAGCAACAACAACAGCAACAACAACAGCAACAACAACAGCAACAACATACCGTCCAGTATCTGACCAATAGTGTTGCAACGTAATGATTGAGTTGGACCTGAGAAAACGAAAAAATCAAAGGAAATACACACACACAACACACACACAAACATACATACACACACACACATAAAACAAAAATTAGTAACACAAAAAATAATCATGTTAATTACCACCACCATCATCATCATCATCTACCTCATCGTCATCATCATCATCAACATCATCATCATAACTAACTTAGCAGAGGAAAAAGCTGCTTATTATACCCAAGGAATA